CAATTGAAACTTGGGCAATGACAATTCCTTTTCACTTGGTTAATTATGACAATATCACAAACGACATAATTAAGAATCAAATCCACTTCTAACATTGCTAACAATCAAAATATAACCTCCAATTTTCATAAATTCCAGTGCAAGGAAATATAAAGTAAATAAATCAAAAATTCACTTTTATTGATAATAAGCAGAAAACTTTGTCCTTACAATGCAAATATATGATAACTATGTTTCTAAACATTTCCTAAGCAATCCATTAAGTTATCATAACTCATAAGTAGCTCCAAAATCTCATATCCTCATCCGCAGCATATTGCGGAATCAATAGTGCTCGTTCCCAAAACTTGGCGGTGATCTCCGCCACGGTCTCGATGGTCTGTTGTAGCTCCTGAAACTCTCTCACTAACCGTTACACCTCAATGGATGGTGAAAACTCCAAGTCAAAACGCCTAACAAACTCCTCCCATAACATCTCAGCCACTCCAGCTGATCACACTTGGTGGGTCACCTCCTCCCACAAATCCCTGGCTCGGTCCCTTAACATTCACGAAGCAAATCCCACTTTTTCCGCCTCGGGGCAAGAGCTCGGGCGTTGGGCGTTCTCCATGTCTGCCACCCAGCGTCGACTAACTATGGGGTCCCTGACCCCAAAGAACTCAGGCGCCCCATACGCCTTGAACTCCCAGAACGAGGGAGTTCCGGCCCCAACCTGGCCCGCATCAATCTCGACTCGGAAAGACCTGAGCCGCTCCTCCATGATCTTCATCATCCCCTCCTTTGACGGTCCCGAAAATCATTGGGGTAGCGTCAAGAATGCCCCTCGTAACCTCGGCTGCGATAAGGTCACGCAACCTCTTGTCAATAGGCTCTGTAGCGTTGCCCGACCCAGATCCGGATCCTGATCCTGATCCTGATCCCCCTGCTCCATGGTGTGTCACCACCATTCTGATCTGAAATACCATAAGACCCAATGATCAAGATATTCAAAAAGGGGATCCCTCCACACCGATTCTCCTTAGAGCTTCCAGATCTAACAATAGTTCGGGTACAGGTCCTGTGCTTTCAGTAGTATGAGCCAAATACTACCTTCCACACCTACTTGTACCTTCCCCAAGGCTCCACCTGATAACTCTCATTCGTCCCAAAACAAAACATATCTCACAAACTACCCCATAACTTAAATCCTAGGCTATCCTAAGATTTGCTCCATTCCCATCAATCCAGAACTCAGATCAATCATAACAGGTTGCCCTATGCATGCAAATTATACACAAAACATGATCAAATAGACCGTGGAATAACAGACTCTACCCTAGGACCATAACCAGACAAGGAATAAGAAATAAGGCCAAATCAATTATTCTAAGGCTATAAGATCCTAATCGTATACAAGTTTTAAAGCATACACATAGCAAAATCCATCCGACTATCACATTCCAAATATCAATATAGCATGGCTAACATATTGGGGAACCACTTACTTGAGCTCGGCCGATTACGCACATTGCACTCTCCTTTTTTCGGTTTTAAAAAGTTTTTAACTTTTGATTTTGAAAATAATTTTACCATTTTTCGCAGTTTGAGTTCAGACACACCCGAGAGTATGTCCGAATCCCTCAAACCAAGGCTCTGATATCAACATGTAACAGCCCAAATTTCCAATAAAATTTTTCATTTTTAATTAACCAAATCATTTTCATAAGATATAAAAAGTTCCAGTCACATTTGTTTTCAAAATCCATCACATCAAATAAATTATTCATAATATCAGAGTGTCCCTAATAAAACGCCAGAGAGTGCATGTCGCGCCATCATGCCGGGCCCTTGCCCTTAGATCCTGAAGTACCTGAAACAACCAACAACTAGTGTTATACCCGTCCGATGGACGGGTTGACCGATAAATAAATTAACTTGTGTTTTTGTATATAATCTTACTTTTAAAATAAAACATACTTTGCTATTTTGTGTTTATAAGAATATGTAATTCACCATGTATGTGATTGTGCATCATCATCTTGTTCAACTCAGATACATATTGCATGACTGGATTATTGTTTTTCTAAAGGAAAAGATTTGGCAAAAAATGCAAGGTCCAAAAGAATGCCTTAAAACATATTAAAACTAAGTAAATGGAAGCTTGGAATATCATCATAAGACTCGTGTTGTAACAGGAGAACTCGCTTGCATCGAATTTTTATGTGTGGCATTGTTAAGCCTGCGATATCCGATTTTTTGAATCATCAACTTCTATATTAGCACAAACAACCTAATAGTAAAAATCCAAAAACAATAATAATAAACATAACAAATAAAGATAAATTAATAGAATACCCATCAATAAAAGTTGATGATGCATTACATAAAAGTACATTGCTATGTGTTAAACTTAAAACAAATAATGAGAGTATGATGATATTTTGGGGAACCACTTACTTGAGCTCGGCCGATTACGCGCATTGCACTCTCCCTTTTTCGGTTTTAAAAAGTTTTTAACTTTTGATTTTGAAAATAATTTTACCATTTCTGCAGTTTGAGTTCAGACACACCCGAGAGTATATCCGAATCCCTCAAACCAAGCCTCTGATACCAACTTGTAACAGCCCAAATTTCCAATAAAATTTTTCATTTTTAATTAACCAAATCATTTTCATAAGATATAAAGTTCCAGTCACATTTGTTTTCAAAATCCATCACATCAAATAAATTATTCATAATATCAGAGTGTCCCTAATAAAACGCCAGAGAGTGCATGTCGCGCCATCATGCATGGCCCTTGCCCTTAGATCCTGAAGTACCTGAAACAACCAACAACTAGTGTTATACCCGTCCGGTGGACGGGTTGACCGATAAATGAATTAACTTGTGTTTTTGTATATAATCTTACTTTTAAAATAAAACATACTTTGCTATTTTGTGTTTATAAGAATATGTAATTCACCATGTATGTGATTGTGCATCATCATCTTGTTCATCTTGTTCAACTCAGATACATATTGCATGACTGGATTATTGTTTTTCTAAAGGAAAAGATTTGGCAAAAAATGCAAGGTCCAAAAGAATGCCTTAAAACATATTAAAACTAAGTAAATGGAAGCTTGGAATATCATCATAAGACTCGTGTTGTAATAGGAGAACTCGCTTGCATCGAATTTTTATGTGTGACATTGTTAAGCCTGCGATATCCGATTTTTTGAATCATCAACTTCTATATTAGCACAAACATCCTAATAGTAAAAATCCAAAAACAATAATAATAAACATAACAAATAAAGATAAATTAATAGAATACCCATCAATAAAAGTTGATGATGCATTACATAAAAGTACATTGCTATGTGTTAAACTTAAAACAAATAATGAGAGTATGATGATATTTTGAAAAATATAAGCATTGTTATAAAAACCGGTAATATTTCCTAGCCAAACAAAGAGAAGTAACTATTCTAACGCAATAAAAAGATAAAATAATGATGCCTACTGGAATCGAAACTTCTAACCTCCAGAAAAAGGACATGTTTCATTGTTTTCACCAAAAAGATTCATATACAGAGACAAATCCATGGCGTCAAGATGTAGTAAGAGTAGGACATGATCATTTTACTGAAAATCGACAGACATAATCCGATAATTACGTACCCAAAGTAAGCTACAATGTCTAGCAAAGGTTCTTCTGCACCACCTAACTTATTTAAAATACACTCTAATATATATCAAATATATAGAGCTCCTATAATAGATTAATAAACAAAATACCCTTAATAATGTAATATTATTATCGGTTTCTTCAATTCACTTTATACGTCATTATACATTACATTTTTAACTTCTTGTTAATATTTTAACAAACAAAGAACAGGGTAAGACTACATTATGAAAAAATATACTATCTTTGTATAAAAATATATATTTTCAACCTTTTTTAATATCATAGAAATGTAGTGTTTATTTTAATCTTAATTTTATAAAAAAATTTAAAATAAATATATATTATAGAAATTATATAAGAAAAAGTCAAATATGTATGAACTCATAAATACCTTAACACATGTAAGATGTTGAGTGTTCTCTATTGGATGTTATATCTTCCATACAATAATCATGATAATTAATGTAGTGGACGTGTATGGATCTTATATTTCTGATACAATAATCATATGATAGATGATGGTCATGCTAAAAAAATATTAAGAAACCTAATTGAAAACATTTTTTTTACTTGGTTGGTATTTGGAGATACTAAATTAGGACAATTTTATAATATTTAAAATGAGAATGAAAAGAAGAAATATTTGTATCAAGTTTTAGTTTTTTATAAATCGATTTATTTTGCAATAGTTAGGAGAATATAAATTTTGCTAAAGCATTGTGTGTTATTTAAATTATTTATTTATACAATATGTTAAATTAGATTTAATTTTTATATTGTATCAAATGTTAGAATTTAGTTATTTTGTAAATGTTATAAGTTATAGTATATCAAATATAAAAAGAAATACGTGTAATTTTAAAATATCAATTAACGTCTATTGCATCTTTTAAGTTGTGATCATTTATATGTTTTTTTTTTTATTTTATTTAATAAAACATGTATCCGCTTTTAATCAAATATAAATACAAAGTTATGTAATCTCCTACATCATGATGCTTACTAATAATATAAAAAGTATATATATGCACAGAATAACAAATGAAATTATAGTATTTGTTAATCTATTTTTAACATACCAAACTTATGTATTATATAGTATTATCAAAGCCAAGCATAATATAATATGACAAACTAACATATATAAACAAAATGGAGTAAAATGTGTTAGATAAGAAAAAAAAAATATTTTTACCACTAAGGCTTTTATAAAAGCAACAAAATCGTATTGTCCCTTTGAAATCCACATCTGATTCACAAGCAACAACATATACAATCAAACATCAAGCTGCAGCAAAACACAAACCAACATGGTTTTTTGCATCTTCACTTTAAAAAAAATACAACATATCTACAACAATTGAGCATCAATCCATTTAGTCTTGCACATAATACATACAAAATTAAAAACTCACAACTCACAATACATATTTTCAGATCTAAAAACTCACAAACTAAAAGTAAAACTAATTAACCACATTGGTACACACATTCTTCTTTACATTTGGAGTTCTGAAAAACGAAATGATCTCACATAATTAGCCATAACTAAATGTTGGGTATTTGTAAGAGTAAGAGATTGCAATCGTGATCAGATCTAGCTGAGGTGAAGCTGGTGGTGAATAATTTTTTTGTACATTTTTACATTCCCATCTCTTTATCTCAACCTGAAAAACACAAAAAAAATCACATTCTTAGTTCGACACATGCACACAAACATCTAGCACGTCACCATTAAAAACAAGTTTTAAATCACAATATGATTAATGGCTTAAATGAACATAATATTTGATTATTTCATATGAAAATTACCCAAACATGAGACTGTTAACACATAATTAAACATATAGACACATTGTTAAACATACATAAACGAAAAAAAAATAGCTTTACAAACACCTAGTTGATCATCTTCAGTGACCCATAGTTCTTTTAAAAGTTGCCTTACAACAGAACTCAAACTAATGAAAACTATGTGGTTGTGATGCTAAGACATTTGAAAAGTGTTCTAATCCAGTATATGATGAACAAACTTAACTTTTTGTTCTTATATATATAAATAAAAATGCAAATTGCTTGTTTGACGTGAGTTTTCCAACTTATAGTGGAAAAACTTAAATCCTAATAACATCAGAGGTTTGTCATATTTCTCTATGCTGTTTGGATCTAGCCCAGTTGGTTTCTATGTACAAATATAAAATAATCAAATGCAACATCTAAGATTACCCATATTTAGGTAAAATTAGATCAACTCAAATTCAATATAGTTTCCTTTTTTGACCCTAAGACTACGCTAGCTTAGCATTGGAATGCTTCATTCCTTCCCAGGTTCCATGATACCAAACCATACCTATGCATAATAGAGACCGGGATTTAACATGGAAAGAGTTAAAAACTATAAATGTGCATATAAATGAAAAAAGGTTGAAGGATGGAACTTGAACCAGAAATTGTTATGCTCTTCAGTTGTTGAGCAATTTTATTTGTTTAGTCTCTGCCTTCAGAGCTCCATCTGATGGATCAACTTGATTGCCAGCAAACTTTTCCCTAAAAACTTCACCCCTTTTCATCTTCACGTACATCACAAGAATGAAACAAGTGCAAGATCAATAAGCATAATGTATGATTATCGCCATTTAAAAATTTATTGTACTTACCATCCCATACAAAATTGTTCCATGTATCACTCCAAGACTAAGCTCCAACCCCAAGCTTAGTGACCCTAAAACCCACGCATGTTACATCATTTTCATGGCCAAGCTCCAAAGTTGAGCCCTAAAAGGGAGCAAATCATCAAATTAAAGATGAATACACAAGCAATGCTCAATGAATATGTTTTGGTAGGTAGGTGTATTCCACCAAGCAAATGCCCTGGATTTGAGGAAGAAGGCGACGTCAAGAGAATTGAATAGGAGAAGATTATGGAAATTTACCAATTATCAGTAGAAAATTAAAAGGAAACGTAAGTTAGAGTTGACTTTCAGCAAATGAATCGACCATCCAGACTTCATAGGATTCATCATCAGGTGATTCGTCTTCAACCTGTGGAAAAAAAAGATCATAAGTAAGATTCTAGAGTACGCATTGTTACACAAACTATCATAAATCACCATCTTTAAACAAAAAATTAGGGCAAGAAGATTAATAGAAACACACAATACACAACGAACTCTACTTGATTTATATAGAAGCCGCTTCTCAATTTCAAGGAGTTGTTAGGAGAATTACACTCCAACTAAAACCTTGGAGGAAAACGCTGATTTGTGGTTCAAGATTAGCCGTCTCTTGAAGCAAATGTTGAAACGATTGAAGAAATTAGGCTGAGATTGAACTCTTATATAGATGGGGACCACCGGAAGATAGGCCCGATTTGTAGGACGTGGTTAGCGCAGAACGGCCGACTCTAAGGAAGTGGAGAGAAGAAGGAGGAATCGTGGGGACCTGAAGACAGAAAGCTGAAGTAACCTCCGATAACTGCTAAATAAAGAGGCATGGACACAATTGTGGGTAAAAGAAGCAGTAACAGATCGAATGAACTGCAAACAACCGCCGAATTGGAGTTTATGCGGCTTTGATTGAAAGTTGTAGGAGTTTTAAGGGCTACGATTTGGACGACGGTTTTTCCACTCACCGTCGTCAATAGTATTAATAATTTGTAAGCTAATGCTTACTGAGTTCCACAGAGCATACACCACATAATCATATAATCCATATCAATCACATAAGCCATGCATATAACATATATGGATGCCGTTGGCTCCCCCCATGGTCTTACTTCAGGATGTCGTGGGCTCCTTCCAAGGTCTTACACCTATGTGTCATGGGTTCCCCCATGGTCTTTACCTGGAAAGCCATGGGCTCCCCCACATGGTCTGATATCCAAGTGTCATGGGCTCCCCCCATGATCTTTACCTGGAATGTCATGGGCTCCCCCACATGGTCTGATATCGAAGTTCCATGGGCTCCCCCATGGTCTTTCAGGCAAGTATCATAGAGACAACTAGCATACCACATAGCACATACCATAGTATACCACATACCACTAAATAAACTAGGTACCACATATCATAAAATGGGTCGGCCTTGGTGCCTTCGACCCATTGGTATGGTGAGGAGACTCATCTCTCAAGAAATGTTGAACTGGTAAGATCAAATTCCAACTCACAACTCCGAACTCAAGCGCCTACAACCACCCTGCGACTAACTTTAACAAAACCCCGAATTAATAAAGATACCCTTAAAGGCAAACTTGGTCAAACATGGTCAAAGTCAAAGTCCACAGTCAAGGTTAACAGTCCATGTTGACCCAACTCTTCAAGGCACTTGTTGACTCGTCGAGTTCCTTCAGTTCTCAGGAAACCCGGGAAAAACTCTAGTCAACTCGCCAAGTTATTACAGCAACTCGCCGAGTTCGAGCAATGTCTAGAAGATCAGGGAAACCCCAGGCCAACTCGCCGAGTTGGAAAAGCAACTCGTCGAGTTTTCCCAGTCTTAACTCATTCGGCCACTTTCTAAGCGAGTCTAAAGCTCTAAACTATGGATCTGATCCCCTAGGGCTGAGATACTATGTAAAGTTGCTGACTTTACGTCCATGCATGACATTAAGGGGGATAAAACACTCAATCATAGCTTATTAAGGGATTTAGGTCATGAAGGAGGGCTAAGACTTAATAAAGATGGCGACTTTAAGTCAAAAGAGGCCATCAGATGTCTATATCTGAAGTCATAGCTTCATGACATGCTCTAATCCAAGAATGATCCCAAAATAAGCTAATAATGACCATAAACTCCTAAATGAAGAGATCTAGCAAATAAATGACCAATGTATCAACTTTATACATCAATATGGATGCTACAACAGAGAAGACACCAAATCTACATCCTCTCCCTTCAGCTATGCACCTCCTACTTCAAGCTTCTTCAAACAAACACCAAAAGGCACTCTTTAAGCTCTCAAACACTCAAAATGGTAGGAAAAGCACGAACTAGGATTTCTCTGGACAAAGGGGACGATAAGGGAGGCTAACAATGAGGCTTAAGGCCTTTAAATAGGGTGAAAACCCTAAAAATTAGGGTTTTCCTTTCCAGCATCTACTCGTCGAGTTGAGTCCTTAACACCGCGTCCAAAAAAAATCCCTACACGACGAGTTGGAGCTCCCCAACTCGTCGAGCTCCAGCCCAAAACCCTAAAATGTTGAGACATAAATGATACCTAGACCAAGCGTTACACTATGGAAGGAAGGATTTTTGGGTCAAAATTTGTGAGCTTCATGCGTGGTGGTTCAACTCTCATAGCTTGCCTTTTTTTCCAAGGAATTGATCATTTCAATCATCTCGTCCTCCAAAGTGTACTTCTTAGCTAAGTTTTTTATCCCTATCTCATCAATATGCTAGCTCAAGATGGTGGTTAGCACATCTTGGATAGAAATTTCAAAATAATCATTAGTACATGGGTCGATAACATCTATGAAGTTTAAAGAATGAATATCATTAGGATAATACATAGCTTGAAAGATGTTAAAGTTGATCACATCACCATTGAATTCAATAAACAAAGTACCATTGGCATCATCTATCTTTGTATTTGCGGTACTCATGAAGGGTCTCCCCAAAAGTATGGAACTCGATTGTTGGGAGTTTTCATCACCCATATCCAATACATAGAAATCAACGAGAAATACAAGTTCATTAAGTTGCACTAACACGTCCTTTAATACACCTTTTGGGTGTACTATAGATTGGTTGGTAAGTTGTATTATGAATCCGGTTTTGGTCAAAGGCCCAATCCTCATTGTTTTGTAACTTGAGTAAGGCAAGACATTAATTGATGCTCTGATATCTAACATAGCATGTGGTACAAAAATATTACCCATTTTACAAGGAACCGTGAATACACTCGAGTCCTTTCATTTTTTGGGTAAACGTTTTTGTAACACAGCCGACACATTTCCCCATAATTTTATTGTTTGATTTCCTTTAAGATTTTTCTTAGATGTGTAAAGTTCCTTAAGGAACGTATCATATTTAGGAACTTGTTTAAAAGCATCTAAAAGGTGGATTCTTATTTCAACTTTTCGGAACATCGCTATGATTTCATCATCTACTCCCTCTCTTTTTGTGCTTGCTAGTCTCGAAGGAAATGAGGCTGGAGTGACTTTGTGCTCGGTGTCAATTGGCTTCTTTGTCTTTGAAATGTCTTTATTTTCATCTTCTTTGACAACTTTCTCCATCTCTCAAGATAATACCACATGCATTGTGTTGTGAGGTATTTTCAGTTTAAGATGGTAATTTGCCTTGTGATTCCATTTTACTCACGGATTGAGTAAGATGTGCCATTTGTTGATCCAAGTTTTTTATGTCAGACTTCGTTTCTTGTTGGAAGGTTTGACTACTAGTGGCAAGGCTTTTCACAATGTCCTCAGAGGACATGTTTGATGAAACAACTTGTTGCGGAGGTAGAGGATATAGCTGCCTAGGTGAATAGTTATGTGGTGGGAATGGTGGCCTTGGTTGGTAATGGTGTTGTGGTATTTGTTTGAATCACATGTTTTGGTTGTTATTCCACCCATGATTGCCCCGAGATTGATCATAACTCCTTTGATTGGGCCCGAACTAGCCTAAAAAATCTCTTTCTTTTTCATAATCTTCTTCTTGAAGTTGAAGGCACACATCGGTTGGATGCTCGGTTTGAGTACATATTCCACAAGGACGAGGTGTAGGTTGTCCCCCTTTGTCTTTTTGATCATCATGACCGCCTTTGTTAATTTAGAAAGTTGGGCTTCAATATGGGGAGTATTCACCTCTTTGACACCCCAAGGTGTATCTGTATACCATTCATCATCTTGATTCGAGTGTTTGGAATCTTCCACCATGTTTTTGATTAGGTTGTGGACTTTGGTTGGGGTCTTTTCAGATAAAGACCCTCCACTTGAAGCATTAACCAAACTTCTTTCCTATGGATTCATTCCTTCAAAAAAGTAGTGAAGGAGTTAGTATTCACTAATTCCATGATCCAGGAAATGGGAGCATAGCTTCCTGAATCTTTCCTAATAAGCATGGAATGCTTCCCTCTTATGTTGCTTGATTCTAATTATCTCTCCTCTCAAAGCTGAATCAACTAGTCTAACTAACTTATTACGACGAATAAACAAAAGAAAAAAAATACATATGTATCTATCACATCTTATAAATAAATAAATATCAACTGACAATAACACAAAGGTCCTAATGGTTTGTTTATACAGAAAAATATATCAAATATAATAGCAAACACTTTGTTTTTCTAAGACAACTTTATACAACCATAGTGCATAAAAAACTTGGTTTCATAAAAATAACAATTATAAAATTAAAACAACAAGTTGTCATAGAAAATATATTTGGTGATTTATTTGTGAAAAGAAATATCAAACATATTTTCCAAAACCAATTGTTATAAAACACTTAAATAAATCTTCCTAAACATGTATAAGAGGCTCTTATACCATTGATGAGTTTTCATAACCAAAAATGATCTTTTTATAAAAACAATTTTAATGGCAAATGGAAGAATTTTAAAACCAACTAGTTTATTATTATATCATTTTTAACAAAACCACAAAGAGGATCTAAATACATGATATACAAAGATAATAATACCCATAGGAAGTTAATGAGATAACCTCTGAAGCCTTTGATCACACTTATAACTGGGGAGTTGATGAAGATAGCAAAAACTCATGAAATATTTTGTTTATAATGCTAGTTCCCATCTTGTATTTGAAGTACTTCTTAAGCCTTAAGTGCTTCTCACAAATCTTGTATTTGAAGTACTTCTTAAGCCTTAAGTGCTTCTCACAAATAAGCAATAAAAGAAAAGAAATTCAAAGCACCAAATCTTCATAATACTTCAAAAGACAAGAAGAAGAAGGGAAGGGAAGATGGATTCCACCATCATATGAAAGTAAAGCCTTTACCTTATAATAATATAACATAATAACTACACTTTAGAAGGATGGGGAACAACGAGGGAGGTTAACAAGAAACCTCCCATGCCTTGTCTATTTTTCGGCCACATAGTCTTAATAAGAGGACAAAAAGGTAGGTTGGTTTCTTTAACCAAAAAGCTAACTAACTAGTAAGTCTATAGTTTATCAAAGTGTCCAAAACTTCATACATGACTTATTAAATCATACTATATGATATAATAATTAACTTTTGTTGGTGCATGGAAATGCTCCACAAATAATGAGTGTTTATTAGGTTGTATTTTTCCTTTATTGTATTTATGGTGTAAATACTCTCCCTCCTATATAAAGGGAGAGTTGGTCATTTATTACTTTAGCTAGCTCACTTTTTCTTAGATTAAAGATTACTTTTCTTACAATGTAATCTAGAGAAAGAAAAAAGTGGTGGGTTCTCCCACCCAGGGAGAGTTTCTCTCCCACCATGTTCTTCATGAATATTATTATTATTCTCTCTTGTTCTTAGCCTTGTTCCATGAACTCATAATATGTTCTTCCTGTTCATACTTACACAAAAACACGATTAATCTCGAGATATCTTACTTCTGCATTCACCGTTCGTATAAAAATGGGTCTCTACAATTGGTATCAGAGCAGTACCTTGAAGATCTCATGATTAGTTCAAGGGAACGACTCCCGTTCGGTGATTATCTTGTGATTTTTCCGTGTTTATGCAAGAAAAATTTTCGGGATTCAAACCGGAATTTTTTTATGAAGTTCGTTCTTAGTTCTATTTTCTGGGTGATTCTTACTTAATAAAATAAATTGTTGCTGCTGCTGCTCGTTCTATTTGTTGCTGAAAAAGATGTTCTTAAAAGTTTATTATTTTTGCTGTTGAAGAAATGAAGAAAA